TTATGTTATACCTAAATGTACAAAGATCGGAGAGTACATGGAGTTCATCAATGCTCTAAATAACACAGACACCACAGAGGTGTTTGGACTGCATCCATCAATGCTGACATTACGTAAGTTTTACAACAGTTTTTGAGGGATGAGTTTAGTTGTTTTTGTTGTTTAATGTAAACTACTTTTTAAGCTTTCTTTCAATGCCACCAATTAAGTGTTTATTGTGAATGGGATACAAAGATATGGGTTAAGGTATTGACCAAGGAAAACATGTACAAATGATAAGATGCCTCGGCTATTAGAGCCTAAGGGCAATGCATTTTTTAAAACCGTCAAATCTGGCTGTAGATTTATCTTAAAATAAGGGATATGTATCAGTTCACACATACAGAATGTCCAAATGTCCAAATTTATAAGAATTGTTGAATGAGTGATAAATATGTGAAAGTAATTGAATTATGTGAGAAAAGAATGCACAAGTTAAACTTTTACAGTTATTTCAAGTATTTGAAGCATTTCTTCCCTTAGAATGGATCTTGTGCATGGAGTGTTAAAAATTTTATAATCAAGTGTGTACAAAAATTAAAACTTGATACAAACTGACCTGAACTAATTGCAATCTTACCTTTAACTTATGCAGGTATTCAAGCAAGACAGCCAAGGTGATTCTGGACACAGTATTGAGCATTCAGCCAAAGGATAGTAGTGGTGGATCTGGTGAGACTCGTGAGTCAATCGTTACGAGAATTTGCGATGACATGTTGGAAAAACTTCCCAGTGACTACATCGACTTTGAGGTGAAACAGAGGCTACAGAAAATGGGTCCTTTACAGCCAATGAACATTTTCCTGAGACAGGAAATTGACAGAATGCAGCGTGTAATATCGATAGTCCGCTCTACGCTGCATGATCTTAAACTAGCAATTGACGGTACCATCATTATGAGTGAGAATCTGAGAGATGCCCTTGACAGCATGTATGATGCTAGAATACCCAAAGTTTGGGCAAAGGTAATTTTATTTCTCAGTTCTGCAGATATAAAGTTGGACTTAACAAGCTTCATTTTGCTAAAATAAACTGCTTGTAACCTTAGTGCATTAACTTCTTTTAAATTATACAAAGAGTTTACCCTTTTTTGCACTAAGGTGGTGTGCTTTGAAGAAGTAAAGCAGTGTAAAACCATAAATGTTTGGGGGTTTCGTGCCTTTAATATTCAAAACACTAGGGCAGTACTACTTTGATTTTGTTTATTTTGTTAGATTCATGCTATACACGATCATTGTTAGTATGTGAGACAAACCTAAAAGGAAGAAAAGCTATGTTCACCAAGTACTCATTGTATCAAACATTACAATTTCAGATTTCCTGGGACTCAAGTACCCTTGGTTTCTGGTTTACTGAGTTAATTGACCGAAACACACAATTCAGTGCATGGTGCTTTGAGGGCCGTCCTAACACGTTCTGGATGACTGGTTTCTTCAATGCCCAGGGCTTCCTTACAGCCATGAGACAGGTAGTGTATTTGATAAATCACTCTGGCCCTTTGACTTACATTTAATATTTCACACTTATTAATACAAAAATCTGTATTTTTATAAAAAAAAATCCATATTTTAATTGAATGATAATATGTTAAGTGAAACTGCAATATGTCTCTTTTTTTTGTATTTATTAGGCAAATGGCAAAATAAAATGAGATTTCTGTGTCATTGAAAAATTACTGTTTTATTATTTTTTTTTAATTCTTCATTTCATTCAATTTTTTAGAAATGTGTAAGCAGAATGTGTGAAATTACGGAAGTCAAAAATCCCATAAACATACTTACATTTATATGTATATTTAAAGTATCTGACAAATACCTCGAACAAAGTATCTGATAAATACCTCAAACTTTTTATTGTCAAGATATATGCTTAAGTGACATGCGATTTCAAATTTTAAAATTGATTTATTCACTATCAACAGGAAGTGACAAGAGCACACAAGGGCTGGGCACTGGATACTGTCATTGTCTATAATGAGGTCACAAGAAACATGAAAGATGACATCACGTCGCCACCATCGGAGGGTGTGTACGTGTATGGACTGTACCTCGAGGGAGCCGGTTGGGACAAGCGAGGCTGCAAACTTATCGAGTCAAAACCGAAGGTCCTCTTTGAGTTGATGCCCGTCATACACATTTACGCAATTAACAGCACAGGCGGAGCAGATCCGAGGATGTACGTTTGTCCAATTTACAAGAAACCACGAAGAACCGACCTTACCTTCATTGCCTCAGTGTTGCTGAAGACAAATCAAAATCCCGATCACTGGACGCTACGAGGTGTGGCGTTATTGTGCGATACTAAATAAACTATCAATGAAAATAACTGTGACATTAATATGTGATAATAATCACAAAATATTCAGCGACAAAGTAATATACTAAGTGACATATTAAAATAACGTTATTATTTTTTTTGGACATACATGTTTGATAAAATACATGAAAAACAACAAGTCTCAATTTTCTCTGAAGATATTTATTATATTTTTATATGCATTAATTGATGTAAGTTTATGAATATTTGTCTTTTACATTAAGAATTTTTTTAGCATGGTATTTCAAGATAATACATTGTATCTTATGCTTGGGTGAGATGAGATATTAAATTGAATTAACTTTTTTATATAATTTTGTAAAGATTTTGAAATTTATAGTCGTTAGATATTTGTCATAATTATTATTAATTTTGTTAGTATAAACTTAATTTATTTGGTAATAATAGTGCAGTAGTGTTTCTTACATAGACACCTTTCTATCTGTTTCCTGTTGTTCATGATGACTTTAATGCACACAGTGTGTTCTTGAGTGATTATAATATTATTTGTACATTTTGTCTCCCATTATATTTTTTTGTTTTGAATTTTTTTCAAATGTCATGATTTAGTATTGTAATTAAATTGTGGGAAAAGGACCTGAAAGATAAGCACCAAAATAATATGATTTTTTTTTTCGAAAATGTACACTATATTTGTAATTAAAGAGTACAAATTGATGAGGAAATCCATGATAAAAGCATGATTAACTGAATAAAAGTTAAAATGATTGGATATATTTATTTCATATGTTATCTGATATAATATCATGTACATGTTTATTTGTGCATCATTTTTATTTTGTCATCTGTGATATATGTATCAAAATTACTTACAAATGTATATGAAAATCCGTCCATTCCATTCTACAGAAAAATTATCTATAAAATTTATTTACATGATGTAGATAGTTCTTTATTTATGTTTTATTATTAAAGAAAACTGTGATTTTTATTAAAAATCAGCCAAGGGTTGTAATGATTATATATACTTTGATTATAGGAGTAATATTATATACATTACAATGTGATCAGAAATTATCTAGTTTTGGGCGAGTTTTTGTTTTCTATAAATCATTATTATTATATTTCTATTACATGTAACGTACCTAATGATTGATTTTATAGAAAATTCTTGCATGAATTATTTTGTTATATATGTTTCTTTATCCTCCCACTTGAGTAAAACTGCTGGTAAATTGTTGGAATTTAATTAATGATGATTCACGACGATCCATTCTTGTTGTCTTTTAGTGTGATTATTCAAACTAATTTTCGGGGAAAAGACAAATGTTTGTTTCATATTTTCTCAAGAAATTTGACAAAAATAAGTGAAATGTGTTAAATTCAATTTTTCCCGCCTTTTTCATTAATTGGCTTATTCCAACGTGATATAATGTAATAATCATTTTTCCGTCCACCAACTGTTTATCTTATTGTAGTATTATAACTGTATCTGTGATTTTACTTTAGTTGTTACAATATCTGTTAGAAATAAATATCTTGCTACAGAAACTACCAGTATATTTTTCCTCATTTTATAATTTCATACCCCATCAAACATTGACAGTCGCACATATAGCTTAAGTGATTAACTATTCTAACCTACCTCACGGTAACCAGGGTCTTGAAATTGGAAGTCTCCTGTCGTAACTTTGTCCAATATACAGACTTTATAATCTGAAAATACAAATATCATAGAAATTAAGGGTTTGAGTCCAAATTGGAGGAAAGAAAGAGGCTAAATGTTCTATTGTATATGTAAGTAGATAATGAACTGTAATTAAATTTCAGACATAAAAACCTTGTTATAAATGACATCACTTAATTAATCTGGTGGCATTTAAATATGGGAACAGGGCAGCTAAAATGCTATTCTTTCTTGTAAACTAAAGAGGACGTGTAAATTAGTAAGCACTGTTGCTCCATAGAAACAAGGCCTTGTTTAATTGATCTAAATTTATTACGTTAAAGCCGTGACTGAAATTAGAACTCCTCTCAACCTATTTAAATAACAACAGACATATGTTTAAGAATTATTTTGAATATGCATTTTCTACACCGCCTATTTCTTTTAACATATACTAATTGCTACAAGACTATAGTGTTGATGATGAATGAATTCCCGTAAAATTTAAATGATGTATTCCAAAAAAATCTACAGGTAAATGGTTACACAACAAAGTGAGTTTAATCTTTTACATTCGTAGACAAATTCATGCTTGTATAATATACATGTATAATACATGCATTTTAGAATAATTGAAATATTGTAACCTGAATAAAGCTTGAAGACGTAACCTTATTTCATACAACGGACTTGTCCTTTGGTTGTCCTAATATGAATTAATCTCGATCTGATGGACAACTTATGGTAGGTCACGAATCTTGTAAAGCTCAAAAGTAAGGCCTTCTACAAAATATAAAAAAAATCTTGGTTTCGAAATTGAAATTTTCTATACGTTAAAAAGTAGTCTTTTATTTTCGCATGGTAATATGTGGCACAGTGTTTTATGCAACTTGCATTGTGTTGTAGGCATATTCAACAAACATGTAAATCAGTACACTGGGAAATGGTGATTGCATGACGTACCACGAGCGGGAAATAACTGAAGGACTTTTGTTTGGATTATGATGATAATGGTAAGTTTGATCTGAGAAGACGTCATCACAGGTTAGATCTATATAGTCAAGTTAATTGATTTATTCAGTAAATAAAGGTCATAGGTCATTGGCCCAAAATACATACCATACAAAACGCAAGGGCATAAGTAGGTAAATGTAAGCAGATTTTTTTTTATTACAAAATTTGTATTTGATGAAAGCAATTCATTAAAAGTTCTCTAAAGCTAATTCAGTCCCGGAAGCTGTATAAAATATTCGTTTTTGCTTGCCCAACAAGGCCTACCGGTTTCATCTAGTGATTTTAACATTAAATAGCATTGTTTTGGGACATAACTTTGTATAATTAGTAATACAAAGTGGGAGTCTACCACATTCTCCGAACACCATGCATGCACTCGTATTTGTATTTTCTTAACCTTTAATAAACCCTTGCACATGTATATTCCTTGATAATTGGGGAGTAAAGAACAAACCCATATACATTTATAAACAGCTATGCATGGTATTTACTGGTTGACCAAGAAAAGACCAAGATTCATAATTAGGAAGGCGACCTCGATTTCGAAATACAGTTGCATGTTTCTTTGTTTTGCCTCCATGCCAGTACAGTGTGGCAATACCACGTGACATTGACGTCATTTTCGGCATCATTTCCAAGACAAATGTTGCTCGATTCGGAAAAGGAAATAGCCGTAAATATTTTATTTCTGTACCCATTTCTTTGGGATATGCACCAGTCTACGGGGAAAAATATAAGCTTTCCACAGAATATTGTATCTTCGTCAGTTTATAAGCCGTTTTATCAAACACTTTGCATAACCT